CGCCCCGCCTCCAGCGCCCCGCCTCCAGCGCCCCGCCTCCAGCGCCCATCAAGACCCGCCCACGCCACGCCCCCACCTGGTGCCTTTCCAAAGGAAGAAGCTCTGGGCCATTTTCTGGGCTCATTGGGAAAGGGGTTCTCGATAGATCCTTAAGAAGCACTCCAGGTCTGAACCAACTGGGCTCCACCTGCCTCCCTTAGCTACCAGGTTCTAGGTCGACCTGCCCTTGAAGTAGTAAACTCTTAACACACAGGCAGGACGGAAAGTGACAGGATAGTAAATGAATGCCAAATTTGTGAAGAAATAGTTAATGTTAAAACTAATATATAGTATTAACAACAAGAACTAAAACTGTTTTTTTTTTTTATTTTAAGCGAGAGGAACACTTACAGGAGGGTTTGAGGAGCAGCGAGGGTTTGTCTAAGGCAGTTGATAGAAAATAGGGTAGGTTTGGAGAAAGAACTGACAGTTATAGAAGACGTATTATCAAGAGCACTTATAAAGAGAAAACCCAAGATGAGACCTGGCTCTTTAAGAGTTTGTACAGAAGTTAGGACAATACACACGGGCTTTAACAACTACCTTAAAAAGTCTTATGCGTTTTTTATAAACGGCGTATTTACTTTTTGTGTACGTAGTAATATACTTTACAGAATTGTGATCATTCTGTTTTGTCACTATCTGGGTTATAATGGATGTTTTCATCAGTTGTTTTTGGAAAATATTCTTAAAACTGCTTATGTGGATAAAGGTATAACTTCTAATGGTTCTATTTTATTGGCTATGCTTGCATTCTATACGTACTAATATTGTAAATGCTGAATTCCAGGTTTCACTTATTTCAGAGGCCTTTAAAAGATATTGACTATTAAAATGGAATTATTAGGCTATAAAACACACCAACCTCTAAAGCTTTTAATACAGACTGCCAAATTGCATTCCTTAAATTTTAATTTTTATTCAGTTTTGCTGTGTATTTATTCTGTTACAGCCAGGGTTTAATGTTGGGGCCTGTGGTCACAGTGGTTTAGAGTTATAATCCTTCCCTTAGAAGAAAGTCCAGATTGTTCAGAGGACCTCAGACAGGCATAGGTGAGGTAAGCCAGGAAGACAAGGCTAGTCATAAAGCAGCAGGGGCAAGTGCTGGCTCCTCTCTTCTCTCTTCTTTCCCAGCCCCTCCCCCCAGAGGAGAGAGCCGTTCCCCAGAACCCCTCCCTTACCCTTTTCTTCCCTTTCTTTTCTCTCTCACAGGCCTTTACATAACCTCAGCTAGTCTCAAACTTACTATGTAACTGAAGCTGCCCATCAACTTCCCATCTTCCCATCTCCATCTCTATAACGCTGGGACTATAGGTGTGTGTCTATACTTCCATACCTCATTTTATTCAGTGTTGGGTATGGAATCCTGGACTTCATGGTGGCTTATTTGGAAGGACGATTCCTAACTTAGTACAATCCTTTGGCTTGAGGAAAGTTACAGGTCTGCTCCTTACTGTTCGCTCCAGAGGGACTGCTCTGTGCGTGAGAGAGGCCCAGGAGCAGGTAAGGGTTGAGTGTCCTGATGGCTAATCCTAGTTGTCAGCTTGACTCCATCTGGAATAATCAAAACACAAGCCTCTTGGCACTCCTATGAGGGGTATTGTAAATGCTGGACTTATTTCTAAATCCTAAATCCACTTATTTCTGAGTCTTTTAAGAGATATTGACTCTTGGTCAGATTATCTGAAGCAGAAAGACCCACCCTAAATGTGGACAGCAGCTTCTGGTGGGAAAATAGATGGAAAGGATAACAGAAAAAGAAAGCATTGCTTTCTGCCTGCTTGTCCCCACACTCACTGGCATGCCCGTCTATGCTGCTGCTGCAGCGTACTTGGCTGATGCTAGAGCCAAGTTCTTTGGGCTTCTAATGTAGACCAAAGACCAGCAGCTCTCTAGGGATCCTCCAGGCTTCCAGTGACAGATTGGGGTTGCTGAGACATCCAGCCTCATGGACTGTGAGCAGCTACTGGATTCTCGGTTTCTCTAGTGTGCACGTGGATGTGTGTGTGTTTGTTCACATTTGTTAATTCTGTCACTTCTGGTCCTTGAGACAAGGCTTGACTAACACAAGCCGTAAGCCAGACATTTAAAAAATGGAATGATGAATACTGTTCTGGGGAGTGGGTAGGGATGAAGGTCCAAGAGCAGGTTCTGACTTGGCAGTGGTGGTGCACACCTTCCATCCCAGCACCCAGGAGGCAGAGGTAGGCAGATCTCTGTGAATTCGAGGCCAGCCTGGTCTACAGAGCAAGTTCCAGGACACCCAGGGCTACACATAGAAATCCTGCATCAGAGTCAGGGTGGGAAGATAACAGGTTCAAGACTCTGGGAAAGGGAAGGTGAGGAGGTACCAAGCTTCAGGTAGTCCTTGGTTGGCAATAGGTCAGCCAGACGGGAGTGAGACAGTTCCGTGAATCTTGTGGCTCACGTGAGTGGCTAAGGCCTGAGTGTTCCCCTCTTCCATCAGTAACAACCTACTGAATCAACACTGCAACCGAAGGAGATCTCCAGGTACCTGGCAAGCCCGGCAGCACAGCAGAGGACTTGCACTTGAATATCAACCACTTGTTGCCTACACAGACTGTGGCTTAAGGAACAGGCAGCACAGGAGGAAGCTGCTGGACCTGCGTCTGTTTCCCTGTGCACAGCCAGGGTATCCCTACAAAAGGGTTTTTTAAGCCTTAGAACTTCAGGCCACTCCCTCTAGGTCTTGGCCTGACAGCTCTTTTATTCACATATCCATGGGGCCACGGGAACCTTTGAATGCTTACTGAATAGACTGGCTTTAGTCGAAGACTGAGAAAGAAAATAGAGATAAACAGGCCTGATCTTCTTCAAGTCATGGCTTCAAAGAATCCATCAAATTGGTAACTCTGAATGTGGTGGCTCATGCCTTAGTCCCAGTTTTTAAGAGGTTAAACTAGGAGGATTGAGAGTTCAAGGCCAGCCTGAGCAATACAGTGAAATGGTCTCAAACCAACCAACCAACCAACCAACCAACCAACCAACCAACCACAGGTAAACAGATGTAGATTACAAGTATAGTTTGTAGGCCAGTGTTTCTCCCTTTGGGGGAGGTGTTGAATGACCTTTTCACAGAGGTCACCCAAGATCATCAGAAACCACAAATATTTACATTGTGATTCATAACCGTACCAAAATTACAGTGAAGCAGCAATGAAAATAATTCTATGGTTGGGGTCACCACAGTATGAGAAAGTGTAATAAAGGGTCACAGCATTAGGAAGGTTGAGAACCACTTCTCTAGGTGGCCAGCCCTTGAAAATGAAACAGCATAGAACTTCAAAATCTTAGATTTCTAGATAAGGAGTGGCTCAAAACATTTTATCAGAAAGGAGATTGGCAACCTTGATTACGTTGTCAGCTTTTAAAGTAACAAATCACCCCTAAAGGAGCTGTTATTAGCACCATAGGATCTGATCATAGAGATCAGAAAAGTATTGAGAATTACTAGATTATCCAAGCAGATGAACTCATGCTGTTCCCTATACTGAAAAAGTTGATCCCACCCAGAAAGGCCTGGATTGGAGAAAGTAAGCCCTGTGTGCTCATGGATCAGCCCACCAGAGATCTCAGGAGTAGTGATGCCTGGGTATGTATGCTCGGTGGTTTTTAAGCAAACCACCTTGCCCTTCCCTCCCCTCTGCCACAGGAAACTGGGCAATGTCTAGCAGCATCCACTGTGAGGAAGGCAGGGTGTGCTGACTGCAGAGGCTAGCGATGCCAAGAGGGACAGCCCTTCCTATAAAAAGGGTTTTAACCCAGTCAAAATGTCAGCTGTGCCAAGGGTTGTTGTTTCTGACCCTCAGATCCTTGCTACTCATTTTTCACCATCACCGGAGGTCCCCGTAGGAACCTTAGTTTGCAGAACTCTGCATATTTTATGTTTGCAGAAGTCTGCAAATTTTGAAGTGTGCAGACATGTGCTACCCCTTGTTCCTGGTCTCTGAGTCTGGTGATAAAGACTGGGGAAAGTCAGCCCTGCTGTGAAACCAATAAAAATAAATACCAGGCTCATCTCTGCTCTGGGCTCCTCAGCACTTCAAAGAAAAGCAAACGATGTAAGTCACATCTGTGGACAAGAGATGAAACACTGAAAATCTCATTATGGAATCTTTCCTTTCACACGGGTACTTGAGTGTAAAAGTTCTTAAGAAAGTGTGTTGAAATAAAATTATAAACAAAAGGCATTGACTTAGTGGGTCAAGCCCTATCTCCTTGTAAGGCAAAGGACCCAGAGTATCCCACTCAGACTACCACCTCAGGCATCAGTGTGTGTCAGGAGATCACAGTTCAGAAGACACTGGACATCTGAGTGCTCTGGGATCTGGCTAAGGCCTGAGATCAGTCAGAATCCTGGGGGTGGTTTGGCACCTGGGTGAATGCCAAGTTTTCCCTGCCCATAGTTTTGCCCAGCACCTCTTCCAGTGTTATTACAGGGAGAATGTCACATGGGAGTGACCTGGCCCAGTGGGTGCTGCTGAGCCTCTGTTGTATCTCATCATCCTGTCCTCTGGTTGTTCTCTGAGCTCATCTCCTGCCTGAAGTGTTTCCTGTCCCACCCTAGTCTTTATTGTCTACTTTATCTTACTCTATGTCTCTTGTATTTCAGTGTACTTTCATTTTTACTTAAGAGATTAAAGTTCTCAAAGAGGTGATCTCTTACTTCTGTAAAACACTAGGAGCA